CGGCCAGGGCCCGGAGGACACCGGACCCGCCCCGCAGGGCCTCTCACAGGGGCGTCCACGGGAGGACTCAAGGCTGTTCAGAGTTCTTTCATTTGCTCGGCCACGGGCGGCTGCGTCCCGGCTCCTCATGGAAATTAGAGTCCCAGCATCACCACGGGCTGAGCCGCCCACCCAGGGCGATCTCTCCGTCCTCATTAGCTGCAGTGTCAGCCGGTGCAGGCTTCACAAGCACCGGCCCGGCAGGTGGAGCACAGAGTGCCCGGCAGGGAAGCGCCATGCTGGCTGGGCCGCGTGGTGACGGGCATGCACGGGGTGGCGGTCCGAGGTCGCGGGTCCGAGGTCGCTGAGGGTGGCTTTTCCTCCTCTCCCTCAGCTGCTGGGTGGGGCCGGGTGGAGGGTGAGGTGGAGTCTACAGCAGGCCCTCCTGGGGCGGAGGACAGTGGAGGGAGGGAGGGAGCCAGGGAGCTGAGCGTGACATAGCAGCCTGCACCAGGCGTGGCCACGGGGAAGGGGTGGAGCAGCAGAAAAAGGAAGAGCCCTCTGCGCACTCGAAGCAACGCTGACAGCTGCGCTCAGTGGGCAGCGACGAAAGGCACAGGCCCGTCCCAGGTCCTGCCCACACGCCCACGGGGACCTGCAGTCACCCTGCCGTCTGTGGTCCCACAACACTGTGACCCTCCCGGGCTCTTGGTGGCTTCCTACCCGTGGCCCCGCCGCCCCAAGTGGGAAACACGCTGTGTCTCCACTCTCCTGCGGGCAAGGGGCCAGCACGGGCCTGTGCTCCTCCAGGCAGATGCACCCCCAGGAGCCGGGTCCTGAACCCAGCTGGGCCGCGCGGCAGGGCTTCCAGGCTCCCCCCAAGCCCCCCCACCCCCCGTCTCTGTGACATCGGGGTCTGCCTCCAGGTCCCTCTCCTGCTTCTCCTGGCCGGTGTGGGTTCTGACGCTGGAACTGAGAATTCCAAAGGCTCTTCATGGGAGGGAACATTCGGCACCACAATCGTCCCTGAGGTGGAACTGCATGGGCATCAGCAACCCTCGGCCACCCGCCTCCCACCAGGGACTGAGGACCCGCGGCTGCAGGCGCTGTGAGCCCACAGGCGGGCTTTCACCTCCAGGCTCACAGGAGGGAGGAGGAGAGAAAGCTCACTGCAAAACATCGCTGACCACTGACTGCTGACCGCTGACCGCTGACCGTCACATTCAGGAAGCACCCGGCCCTGAGCACGCTCAGTCTGCAGTACCCAAAGTGGCCTCTGGGCCGCGGCCTGGGATTTAGAACTGGTGCTGGCGACGCCTGTCCTCCAGGTGGCAGGTCTGGGGCGGAGGCGGTTCAGGGGTCCCCACAGGAGGGCCAGATGTGGCCTCAGAGCCGGCAGCAGGCCCAGACGCACACAGCAGCTGGAAACCAGCAGGCCACGGGCGCCGCAGCT